AGCACAATACGAAATATCATTCGATGACACAACCTAGGTATGTTTATATATCTATTATCGTCATATTTGAATTACATTATTTTTGGGTAATATTTCGTTCGAAATTAAGTTCCCACTTGATATTTTGCAATTATTGTCGAACTCATTGCGAACGAACAAAGAATATTATTGGTATTTAGTAAATTACAACGATTTGTAAATTAAAAAAAAATTTATTTGTGTATACAACAAATTTAAAACCATATGATACAAATAATTGAGTCAATAACTTTGTTACATAGTCAAATATGTCATAGATAAAATATCAATAATTTTAATACTAATAATAATTTAAAATTTAAACCGATAACTAGCTAAAAACATCCATCGTGGTTGTTGTATTCGTTGTATAAAATTCTTAAAAATGTAAAACAAACGAACGTTCGTTAAATAATACTGCTAATGATGAAAGAAAAACTATAAATATAAGCAGCACTGAGAGATATATATATATTATAACAGTCTCTGAGTAAAAATCCTCAAATAAATCCTTAAATATTTACAAGCGCCACATATTAATACATGTATATGTATATATCTTTACGGAATAAGCATCTAAATTTATTTGATAAAAGTCTTTTACTTGGTGTTCTTTGATAACCAGCAATCTTTATAATATTAATAGTACGAAATATTTCTCTCTTTTTCTTTTATGCATACATAAAGCGTACATCTGAAGATTTGTTGATTACGTTCCCAACTATTGCCGATAATTATTTTGCAGCTTGATTAAATCTGTATGTACGTAACGTATGTGAATTTTTATTTTACAATTCTACAAATACTATGTTTACAATTACGATTGATGAAATCATCGTAAAATCTATACTTGCTTGGAGAGAACCAAAATTAAAAAAGAAAATATTTTTTGTTTTCGTTGTGTACTTATAATTCCGTGGCTCATACGAATCGTCATTGTCTCCAGCTTTATATGTCAAATACGTTTTCACACGTAACATACTCTTTATATCAGACCCCTGGAAAGAGATAAACTAAGAAAAGTGGTGTGATAAAAACTTAAAAATATTTGTTTTTCGAAGGCAATTACCTACATGGTTCTACTATTTATTCAAGTTGCGACTAGGATTGTCGTAGAGATGAAATAATATTGACCCAAAACATCATAGAAGGCAAATTTACGAATTTTGTGTTTCTGTCAATGATCGATGAAATTATCGTATTTTTACCAGAATTCGAATTACTCGGATAAATTGAAACTTGTCCGAGCAATATTAATTTCTTTTATAATATGTATATTAAAATTTTATATACCATTGGATTGAATTTTTTAGGGGAGAACTTACCCGATTAGAATAAGCTTACGGTTGCCGGAAGATACCATCAGGACCATATATATTTGATCGATTCAAAGTATTATTATCATTGTGGTTGGAAATCAAAATTTTCAGTAGATTGTTCTAACAAAGCAGCTAGCCTCTACACTTACTCCGCTACTTGGTAGTAAAAATAGCAGAATTTTTTCCTCCTCGCTACTTATAACGAATCGCGTCAACAACAAAACGGCATCGCTTACATTATACGTTATGGTATATAACATTTGTACACATTAATTTTGGTAGTGATGATGATGGTGACATGTTGCTTCGTATCGTTAAACCATCTTCGAAGGCAATGCACAAAGACCCATCAAGAGGGACAAAATGTTTGCCTCTCGCGGGTGCAGTATAGCTGCAGACTCTGCACATCACAAGCAGCGACAGAGTCGTCGGTATCGGTGGTAAGTCAGGGAGTTCATATATATATATATGTGTGATTGGCTCCTGTCCAAGGAATACTGCGCGTGCAGTAGGGCTGAAAATAGTTTTGCCTCGTGCTTAAAATCTCCCATGACTCTCTTTCTCTTTTTCTTTTTCTTTCGGTTACGGTTGAGTATGACCGGCTGCATTAACTTCCAATGCTACATCAATACTTAGGGTATACGATCATTGTTTTTTTTTCTTCTTTCTTCTTTTTTTCGATATTGTACATACAATTGTATATGTAAGTTTTCCTACAGCTCGTTGTAATTGTCAAATATAACTAAGTATGTATAAAAGTACATCCCGGCAAGTAATTTTTCGTCTCGTATTGCCACTATTATAATACATATTATATTTCACCGCGCAAACACGTATACGTATATATACCTACTTGGATTTATTTTTGTCAAGATCTCGGAATAAAGAAAAAAAACCCCAAGTATTTACGAAAAAAAACGTGGAGAAAACGATTTTTTTTTTTTTTTTTTTTTTTTTTTTTCTTTTTTTTTTTTTTTTTTTTTTTTTGTTACCTACGTATATATATATGTATAGGTATATTGTTAGTACTGGTGCATCGAGCTCTCTCTTTCTCCGAGGCGCTCTTTGTGCATCATTTTCGTAAATGCATCTGCAGTCCCATGGACGAATCGAAATCAGCCAAAACAGCCCTTTTTTTTATTATTGCACGTCGAGCCACGTGTTTCTTCGAGAATTGCATTTGCGCATATGTATACCTACTTACTGTTTGTTTATTTATTTATTCGTTAATTTTTCACAAACAGAGGAGCAACTTGCAAGAGTTGCAGTATTATAAAGTGCACCATGATTTTCAAGTACCATCGACCGAGTTTGTGGTTGTTTTTTTACTCACTTGATAAGGGTTTACAAGGACTTGCAGAAAAAAAAGGATGCTGGTATAATCTACATATAGGAGCATACCTGTACTTATTAAATACAATTTGTCTCTGTCGCTGTTTCCCGGTTATTGTCATGACTGTCGGGAAATATACAATCACGTGATCTTAGCCTTGCGCTTCTGTGTCATCCAATTATCGCCTCATCGTATAAGTACATATATTCTTACTTACACGCATATGAGTACTTACCTATGAAATTTTACAAGCCGAGGTCACCGAGACGTCGATGTACCTATGGGTGTGATGTATAATCGACGGATCAATGAACCTCTTTTCTTTTTCTTTCTCCGCGGTTTTGGCAATTGTCATCATCATCATCATTATTATTATTATTATTATTATCACCATCATCATAATCATTTTTATCATCATCATCATCATCATCATCATCATCATCATCATCATCATTATCATTATCATAATTGTCATCATTATTATCATTACCACTATCATAATCATCATCATCATCATCAATATCATCATCACCATCATCATCATTTTTATCATCACCATCATTTTCATCATCATCATCATTATAATTATTATCATCATCATCATCATCATTATTATCATCATCATTACTATCATTATCATTATCATTANCAAATATGTCATAGATAAAATATCAATAATTTTAATACTAATAATAATTTAAAATTTAAACCGATAACTAGCTAAAAACATCCATCGTGGTTGTTGTATTCGTTGTATAAAATTCTTAAAAATGTAAAACAAACGAACGTTCGTTAAATAATACTGCTAATGATGAAAGAAAAACTATAAATATAAGCAGCACTGAGAGATATATATATATTATAACAGTCTCTGAGTAAAAATCCTCAAATAAATCCTTAAATATTTACAAGCGCCACATATTAATACATGTATATGTATATATCTTTACGGAATAAGCATCTAAATTTATTTGATAAAAGTCTTTTACTTGGTGTTCTTTGATAACCAGCAATCTTTATAATATTAATAGTACGAAATATTTCTCTCTTTTTCTTTTATGCATACATAAAGCGTACATCTGAAGATTTGTTGATTACGTTCCCAACTATTGCCGATAATTATTTTGCAGCTTGATTAAATCTGTATGTACGTAACGTATGTGAATTTTTATTTTACAATTCTACAAATACTATGTTTACAATTACGATTGATGAAATCATCGTAAAATCTATACTTGCTTGGAGAGAACCAAAATTAAAAAAGAAAATATTTTTTGTTTTCGTTGTGTACTTATAATTCCGTGGCTCATACGAATCGTCATTGTCTCCAGCTTTATATGTCAAATACGTTTTCACACGTAACATACTCTTTATATCAGACCCCTGGAAAGAGATAAACTAAGAAAAGTGGTGTGATAAAAACTTAAAAATATTTGTTTTTCGAAGGCAATTACCTACATGGTTCTACTATTTATTCAAGTTGCGACTAGGATTGTCGTAGAGATGAAATAATATTGACCCAAAACATCATAGAAGGCAAATTTACGAATTTTGTGTTTCTGTCAATGATCGATGAAATTATCGTATTTTTACCAGAATTCGAATTACTCGGATAAATTGAAACTTGTCCGAGCAATATTAATTTCTTTTATAATATGTATATTAAAATTTTATATACCATTGGATTGAATTTTTTAGGGGAGAACTTACCCGATTAGAATAAGCTTACGGTTGCCGGAAGATACCATCAGGACCATACACCGCTGCCGGAGAGTAATCTGTACGCGGCCTGTATGATAAGTGTTACCAGGTGAGTATATGGACCGGTTATGGCAACCGGCAATCATATGGTATACGATTATTATACTGCCCGTATACAGGCCGGAGGGTATGTATATACATACAAAACGAACAGCTGTGTTTTAGGCTGTCAATAGCAATCTGCAATCCATTTGAATGCACGGGTGCGAGAGAGATAAATGATCATTTGTCAGACAAATTCGTTGTTTTTAATTATGATGGCTTGATTATGATTATTTTACGTATATCATGTAACGAAGCCACAAAATAAAAACTATGCTTGACAGTACATAATTCCCTTGTTACGTGCTCAGCGCGAAACAATAATGTAACGCTGTAAACCATTTTATTATTTCTCGTTCTTATCATCTTTTGTCATTCGCGGCACGATTCTCGTGTGTACCTTACCTCACAATAATCATACTGTTGGGCATAATTATTTCGGTACGTACCAATATATCAGATATTTATATGTATACATATGTATTATACGTATTGTATATACTGCAGTTACCTACACAATATGTATAAAGTTATGCATATTACCTTGAAAATAATTGACTTGCGTAGTGCAGAAAATTCATAATCGTATTATTGAGACATTTCAAAAAAATGAAACAAATAATGAACAATTGTTTTTCGTCTGCGCAAAAAATGCAAGTGTGATTTGTCTGGACACATAAGTATAACATATAATTATTATAAAGCGAAAGAGGGACAGCTATGAGCCACTGTTGGTACCGTTACCACCATCACTGTCGTTGTTTTTCTTATTGTTGGTAGTGAAGGTTGTGGAAAAAGTTGTGTTGGTGGTGGTGGTGGTGTTGGTAAGCCGTTCGAGTTGTTCCTGAGCGTGTTGTAGCGCAGAACAGTAATGCAATAATAGCACGCTCAGACCCTGCACCCGTAGATCGCTTTGGCGTATCATTCTGCTGTTCTCAAGGTCTGGACTCTGCGACAGCTCGCGTCTCGAGTTGGTCTCAACGTCAAGGGAGCTCTTCAATTTTGCGATCTGCAAGTGTCGTATAATGAAAAAAAAAAAAAAAAAAAATGAAAAAATAACTGGCAATAAAAGCTTTGTTCAAAAAATTTATTGCTATCCAGATACCGAGCTCAAAAAATACTATACTTTGTTAAAAAATTCATGGGTTTAAAAAGAAAAAAAGCCAGTGCTTTGCGGAACACTACAAATTTGGGGTGATTTGTCACGTTCTGATAAAAACTAATAAAATTCATTGGGTTTCGGCGAAAAGTAACAAGAATATGTAAACTTAAAACAATTTGCGATTCGTATGGGGCGTTTTTACAAAAACAAACACAACTTAATTATGAATTACCTACTACAACATTTTTTGGCGACATGAAAATGTTGCAAGCAAACTCCGAATATGAAATATTATAGTTGGAAGTTGATTTGGGCGATACATATCAGTAAACAATGTACAAGTTGGAAGATGAATGAAAAAAAAAAAAAAAAACTATGGAAAAAAATAAATAAAACGGAAAAAACATCCATGTTTTTTTCTTATTATACATTTATGTGCATGTACACGTATACTAAATAAATTTTTGGATGAAATGAAAAAAAAAAATGAGTGTCACAACGGCGTGCAGCACTGATGTTATCTTTCATTTTTACAAACAATTCGCTGGACTTTGAGAATTGGTCAGTAAGTTTCAACTTTACTGAAATAAGGCATTAAATGGTAGTTTTTATGTCCGTACGCGACGTATCCGTGAAATAAAATAGTAAAGGATAAAATAATTGTAACCTCTTTTGAAAGGATGGAATGATGAAAGAAAATGAGTGAAAAAAAACTTTGGGCATAATTACCATGGAGTTGATTTTGTCGAAGCGCTCCTGGGGCTCGAGACTTCCATGGAGCAACTTTCCAGTCTCCTTGGCCTTGGACATGAGACCGTCGTCGAGTTCGCCGGCGATGAGTGGCCCAGCAACACTCGGCTCCACCCCCTCCAGCAAGTCTGGACTAATGCCCAGGCCACCGCCGACGAGAGAACTCTACGTACATTGTATTTCCAATTGATCAGCACACATTTTTTTTTTTTTTTTTTTTTTTTTCATCTATAGCTCTTGCAAGCGATAGCGGCTCGTGCTTGTTTTTTTTTTCTCTATCATTAAATGCTTTATTCATAGCTGGTGCTCCATGCATGTAGCTTAGTGGGTGTTTTTTTGTTATACATAGTTGTACAAAATATTGGTGAAAAACAGTGAAAGCACTTGAAAGCAAATAGTTGAAAAAAAATGAAAAGAAGGAGCTACGTGCCTTTCAGAAACACGGTGACTGTTGTAAGTATTTTTATGTACTACGAGTATAAGCATGAGAGTGAAAAATGCATACATCGTACGTTTGCTGCCCTGCATGGGCTTCACCTGAGATCTGGGACATTTTCTACTTTTCCGTGCTTGGCGCAAATTGTACCACTTATTAAGAAAACTATGGTGGTGATGATAATTGCGGTAACCGTTAGTTACACAATTCAGCTGCTCATTAGTTATATTTGTCATTAGATATTTGCTTATGATACGTGTACTTATGAGATGATTGGCTTTGTAAATAAGGGCGGAAAAACAAAAGTGAAATACGCAAGGAAGCTGGTACCATGGATATACAACTGATCTCGGGTTTTTTTAGTTTTCAAATACAAATTCGAGGTCTTGCTTGCTCGATAACGCCACCAGCTTCAACTTTTTGCTCGACAGCTCATTATTTTAGGGTTTATCAACAGGGTCGAAGCATTGTCTTCTATCCACACGGTATCCATGTTAAAAAAAAAGAAATGTGACGAGGGACACGTGCGAGCTTTGGATAAAAAAATCAACATTTTTTGTGTTTTTTTGGTGATCTTGAGTTATTGTTGTTGAAAAATGAAATGCTCTTTAAAACTTAAATGAGGAATGATGAGGAAAAAAAAAAAAAAAAAAGTAAATAAATTAATGGTAATAACAATTGTAAAGGGCAAATCGTGTAAAACTGGCAATAAATAGTATGAGAATTTTATAATTTTTCAGGCAATCGCAATAGATTTGACACTCACGTATCTATCACTTAAGCACATAGAGCATACCTGTAAGCAGCCAGTCTGATAGCGCGTCAAGCAATCATCAGTAAGTACATTATATGTAAAAGCAAGCTTCGGCAGAGCACTTTTCGTGCACCATATGATACATCACCGAACGTACTTCTAATTGGTATTATATGTCAATTGTCCAACATTTCAACATTTGGATGTAAAGTCAGTGTTATACATATGATAATGCAGCCGAGAAAGGAGCGAGAAAAATGTAGGAAAAAATAGTAATAATGTAGGAAATTAGAACTGAAAAAATTATAGATATTTAAGTTATAAATATCGATGTAGAGATAGGCAAGAAAAAGAAATGGTTCTTGTAATGAAGAAAAAACGCCAAGATGTGCGTGTTACTTTTTTTTTTGTTTTTTTTCTTTACAAGTACTACCGATATTGTATTACGTTGACACCAAAACGTTAAGAAAGTAACTGATTTAGTTTTACTAGCAGTGCAAGTTACTGTTAATTTTTACAATCTCATCTGATGGGTAATTCATTGAGTGCTGGACACAAAATTGTAATTTTAGATGAAAATAGGCCCTCAGTTGGAAAAATCGGGTCTGCACCTGGTGCGCATCCAATCGCAACGTGCATCGCACCGGGTACGAAGTAAAAGTATTTTCTTACCTCGGGGCATTTTTAACGACATTCATAGTTACTATAAAAAAGATTATAACAATTGAATTGTTGGATAAGCAAGTCGAGTACACGTGGGAAAAAAACAAATGCTGGTTTCCTTTTAACTCAAATATCGTAAGAAAAAAATTGATGAAAATTAAATACTTGTTAATTAGAAAAGTAAGTAAGCGCGTGATTACGTTGGATTGATGCTTCTCTAAAAAGTATGAAAACAGCAATGGTAACAAGAACAACAACAACAACAACAGCAATAACAATAATAATAATGATAATCAGTATATAGCAAGAATAATGAAAAAGACAGTAGATGAACTAAATATAATGATAATGTTAAAAGAAGAGTGTCAATCGATCGATCGATCGGCAAAATTGTTATCACGAAATCTTGGCCGTTTTTTCTTCCACGGAAGCATACGTGTCCCTTCGGGCTCTACCTTGCGTGATGCGCAGGGACTTGGGGGTAGGCTTCTGGAGGCCAGACCAGGGTTGGCTGTCGGCGGGGCCAAACAACTTGTACTGCCCGCCTTCTTCAGCCCCAGGAAGGTGTTAGCTATGCTGGCCCTTATAGCCATCATACTCGCGCCCTAATTACAATCAATTGCCACGTTAGTGAATCTCAGCCTCATTTATTATCTCTCTGTGTACCTGCCGCATGTTGTATTTTGTCGTCTTCGTCTTAATGGTCTCTGTAGTAGTCGTTGTCGTCGCACCACACGTAAATGTGTATAATAATACCAATATTTTTTAACTTATGCTTTATCGGAACATTCATTTGATCGCAAAGGGCTAAGTACAAACATAAATTAAATTGTATTGTCCGTCGGTTATGTAGTGATTATTTATTAACATGGAAAAAAAAAAAAAAAAAAAAAAAGAACAACAGGACACTTACACATTTTTATTTTTTAAGAGGTAATACTTTTTATAGGGTAAGGACACATGTCAAATTAAGATTAACGCAAGTCTGTGAACTTTATGTTTCAAAGTGAATGTGTATTTAATTATTATATAGATTGTAAGTGTTAAGGTGAATTGAACCAGGAAGAATAAGGGTTACAACAAGCCTACAAAAGAAACCTCCACCCTCGCGTGATGTAGCTTTTTTGGTTACTTTTTATTGTCAACAATATTAGTAAATCATGCTTTTTTAATTAACAATCATTATATTTATGTACAGGGATCCAGTGATAATGCATCATTACTTTATCACCAAGTATAAATCAGCGGAATACCTACAAATACCACTTTACTGGCACGTAAAAAAAATTTTGACCCTTACACTATTTATAAACACTGGCCACTGACTAGATTTATTAATCATAAAAATTATTTATCGCATCGACGCACACGATATTGTCAAGTATAATACACGAATAAGACAAAAATATACTCTTTTTTTTTTTTTTTTCACTTTGTACAAATTTTTCCTTGCAAAAGGCAAAGAAGAACATTGACTAGTTTAAATACTCATTATAATGCTGACAATCAACTATGACTCTCATCTCGTGCGTTATTTAATAAAACAAGTGTTTCAAGTATGCTGTGCAGACGTGTTGATGAAACTGATATTACACTTTACACGTGATACCTGATTTGGCTCGTCGTCTTACAAGCTTTGATGCAAAAGTATATTCTATATTCGGACTTTCGTTACGTGCAGTTCACTTACTTATCCGCAACCAGCGCCCGAATCTCAATTTACGTTTCCGACCGGCTTCTTATAATAGGTAAACCTTTGAAAATTAATTTTAATGATAATAATAATAACAACAACAACAATAATGATTGTAATAATCGTTGGGAGGTGGGTCGCTGTTCAATTTGTTCGATCGTAATGGTCATAATCAATTTCTTTTCGTCTAAGAAGCGGCCTAATAAGTGCCCAGTACCTGAACGTCCTCTTCGCAGCTCGTGAGGGATATTTCGGGGCCTAGCTCGGTGGTGCTCGTCTCGGTCTCATCTGCCTCGAATGCCATCGCTGTCGTTAGATTTTCAGCTCCGCAGGAGCTCGATGCCTGGCAACGCACCTCGCATTTTTTGTGACATACCATTCCACAATTGCGACACTGGACCGCATCCTTCAACCAAATCTGCAATTCAAACGACAATGCATGTATTACAGAAAAAAGACTATTCAATGTGACGGTGACGAATCTAACGGGTTGATTCAGGTAACCTGAACTTACCTTTTTAGTGCAAAAATCACAATGAGTAGCCCTGTGAAAGTGAGTTCTTATGAAATCATGCAATTTCTTATTTACGGTTTCTTCGCACAGGACGACTGGTTGTTGCGCTTTTGTTGCTTCCTCGACGCTCTTTTTAACCGTGTTATCGACATTTTGCTGATTTGGACGGTTTGAAACCCACAAATAAGAAAGCAAGATATCACCAAAGCACAACGTTGGATCGAACCCAGAATAACCGTGCAATTTAAAGCAGCTCGACGAGTTGGCTAGACTTGCTGAAATATGATACAATTTATATTATTTTAAATTTAAAAAAAATGACGCTTCAAGTACGCAAAAATAATACAATGCTTACTCGAGTCTGGGGGTAAGAGAGCATAGCATTTTAAATAATGTCCAGTTGAAGAGGTGGAGCACTGAGCTAAGATAAGCTTTATGGGAGTATTAATGTATCCCAATAATTTTGATTGACTGCTTTGTTGTGTATCTACGGTACCTTTGGACTTGGCCCACACTCCGATATTCAAGTACTGAAGTTCCGAATCTATTTGAAACGTTCGCTTTTCCTCGAATGTTATCAGCGAGGCGCAATCTCTGTCTTTTGTCGTGTAATAAAGATCAGTTATGTTAGGAGAATTCGACTCGCCAGATTGGCCGCTGTACAAAGTTCCCGACGATGAATTTGACGAGGTCGTGGAAATCCTCCTGGACGGCGTTTCGGGAGCCGATGTATCCAACGTTTCCTCGGTGTGCACCTGCGTACTGCTTTTCCTGCGTCTGATGAACAATTTTCCGCTCGCGTCATTTTTCTCTCCTAAATCTGTATCAAAGTCTCGCAAATCCGAAAATTTTACGCTTTTGAAATTGTCATCCACGTTGAGCGCGTCGCTCTTGGCTGGTCTTTTGGAGCAGCTGTTCTTGTCCAGTTCGTTTGTTTTCGGCAAACAATGCAATTCTCGATCTCCACTGCAATACTTTCTTTCGACGCGAATGATGAATCTCCTTTGGGCCGCGTGTTTTATGAGTTTCGCCACCTGGCTCAAACTGGCAACTTTCTTGCCATTCACGGCAACGATGACATCCAACTTTTTCATTTCAGCGATCGCCGCCGGACTATTACACACTATCGTCTCGACAATCACGCAGTTTTGGCCAATCTCGGCAATGTATTCTTGCTTGAAGACGACGCCGAGCTGCTGAGAGCTGACTTTGCTAATTATCAAATCAAGGACCATGTAGGGAATACCATTGTACTGCGTGAGGCACACCCACGGCGTCGAGTCTACGCTTAGTGTGCAGTAAATCTCAGTTTGGGATAAATTTTCAGCACTTGTCGAGTTTGCGTCAATGTTCAATCTACTGACTTCTATTAATGTTACATCCAAAACGCCAGGAGTCTGCCGAGTCGTTGTGACCTGCGAATCATTTTTAAAAATCAGCTCTTGATTAGACTTACATTGTAAATTATTTCTGACTTAATTGGGATTGTTTACAAAAAAATTTATTTCACCTCTGATAAATCGATATCTTCGTCATTGAGTCTACGGAAAAAAGGCTTGTAACGCATTTTGTAACGAGGTAACGTGTGTTTTCGCCTAATGGCTCGGCGAATTTGACCCGTGATTAGCGAGATGATTTGTGGCTGTAGGTGGCGACCTTGAAATTGTGACTGCACTTCTAGCTCTAATATTGGTTCTGTATAAAAGCTAAGGGACCAATGAGTGTAGGGAACTCTTGTAAATTGAAGCCTGGCTTTTCCCGTTAATCTTTTCACTGAAAATATTGTTTTATTTTTAATTACTTTGAAAGGATAAACTAAAAATTGTTTGTTTTCCTAAAATGTCTTCATACTTTGAAGCGACAAGTAGGCTGTTTTGCTCAACAGTAGTTTTACATCTATGGACATTTGAAAATTGCCGGAATAATGAAGATCCAAGCAAAGATCGAGGGTCTCTAACAAACCAGTGTCTGCACATATTTTTGCATCCGCTACTTCTAAGCCTTTGATCGTGGGAAAGTGATTACCAAGATTTAGATCCCTCAACTAGTTGGAAAAAAGAAAAAGAAAATTAAAAAAAAAAATAAATCTTGACATTTTTTTAACACACGAAAAAAATATAGGCATACCTGTACACTGTCAAACAATTTGCCAGTTGTCGATTGATTAAGAAGCTCTTTAAATTCATTGTTCAGCTTCCTGTACAGCCACAATCGTACTCTTTCTGCATTTCTTAACTCGTTGAAGAGAAACTGTAGCGTCAGATTGATTGCTAAATTTTCATTTCCTTGCGACAGTCCCTGTCGTGGAGAACTACTGGGCCTTTCATCCTTGAGCTGAGTGACGAGCTCCTCTGGTAATGCAGCTCTTGCGGGCAGAGTGGGGTGCTTGGGTGGACTTGCCTCGGCCGCACTTTTCAGGTACTTGTTGAAAAAGTAATACTCTAGCAGCAGTGTACATATTACACCACAAACAAATGCAACTATAGCCAAGAAAATAAATAAGAAAATGCCCATACTAGTAAAGGGCTGAGATTTCCTTTACAACGGCACTTTACTGAAACATATATAGTACATGTACATAAATATCGTATTATTCTCCTTCATTGGTAGGTATTAGAAAAATATGAGCATTATTGAAAAAAAAGAGGTTTGTCGAAAAAGGAATAAATAAATGATTATGATACAAGTAGGTGATAGAGAAACACTTGAAAGATTTACTCACAAGTGCACGTACGTCTGGACTATCAAGACAAAAAAAAGGACAACATGCCCAACAACTTTATCAAATAATCTTCATAATGATTGGGTTATTGGCAGCAGCAATTAGGGGGTGGTCGTTGGCGTAATTCTGATAGTATTACACTACTGCTGCTGCACACTGTCTTTACTGTCTCTAGCAGCATCGGAAGTATTGGAACCATCAGAAGCATCATCCTTTAAGCACACTTGGGTTGTTGCTGTTGACAAGTACCTAAGTAATTGGTGTAAGTGGTACACTGTTTATTCTCGGTGCTGAGTATTATCTACTAACCAAGTATATATCGTGAATACACCATTAGTAGGCACACTCGAACTTGCAAAATTAAAAATCAATAAAATTATAAGAGGAAGGTGGAGGCCGTTGCGAGAAGAGACATGTTAAAATTCACATTTTTATAGAGGTAGAGGATCTTGTGTGGGAATCATTCACTGTCACATTAATGACGTTGGTCGCATTCACTGTGACTCCGAAGCTCCTTACTACTCCGAGCAGCGAGCAGCGAGCAGTCCGAAGGTTTGTTCAAGCCAATTCTCGGAGAGACTGGGAGTCTCTGAGAATGGAATGAACAAGTGTTCTTCACCGAGTGTCTCCGAGAGACTCTGACTGCGCGTCCCCGAGAATGTATTATATGTACACGTTAGGTTAGATAAGTAAATTAAAATCATATATAAGGTTCGTTTGGGGCTTAGCTTGGAGCAGCTCGGAGCTCCTCCGAACTTTGCCCCAAAACACGCATTTAGCTCCGAGCTCATCGGAGCGACTCCGAGCAAATTTTTACAGTCGGTATATCTATATTTACAGTCTTGGCAATATAAATATTTACGTCTTGGCCATAAATATAGATATACCGACTGTAGGAATTTGCTCGGAGTCGCTCCGATGAGCTCGGAGCTAAATGCGTGTTTTGGGGCAAAGTTCGAAGGAGCTCCGAGCTGCTCCAAGCTAAGTCCCAAACGAACCTATAGATTCACTCTAAGGGCCTACGCAGTGAAAAACACAAGCAAATGCACAGGCACAGTGCACAAGAATAACATTAGTTGGGATACCTAAATACGTGATGCACAGCGCGGTATGCTGTATGCTTTACGTTTTCACAGATATAGACATACCAACCAATGTTATTCTTGTGCACTGTGCCTGTGCATATGCTTGTGTTTTTCACTGCGTAAGCCAACGTTGAACGTTGTTGGAATGGTATGTATGACCCAGGTATGTCGGAATGGTATGACAGGAACGTTGGATTGGTACATAACACAGGAATGGCGGAATGGTAAAACCCCATCGACTCAATAAAACGGGAACGATGTAATGGTATAACCCCACTGACCCAATAAAATGGGAACGTTGGAATGGTATAACCCAAGAACAGGAACGTTGGAGTGGTACAATATACGAATTTGCGAACAAGTAGTCTGTAGAAACACAAGGGCCTCAGCTCTCTTGGTCTTTATGTAAATATAGTCACTGCTCTCAACTACATTTTCGTTGTAGGTTATGTATGGCATAATAACTAAAGACTACTTTGTTTAACAGATTCTTATCGATTATAATGTAACGATTTTTCTTCGATGTAATTTGAAAAATCAAGTGCTTGGTTAGCATGGCTGCATTAATGAAAAAGCGAGTCTTGGCTGAATTAAACCAGAGTCAAGTAAGTGTCAATTTTTGTCAGTTGTCTACTGTCAAATTTTAATTTATCCACATTTTCTCATCCTTTATGTAGGTAGTCACGTCCGAACCGCCTGTCAAATGTCTTAAAACTTTGAGGCTTTTATCATCTGGGTCCGGGAAAAATGGAGCCTCGAACAAAGCTAGTTCTGCTCTTGCTTACATTGAATGTTTAGAAAAGTGCAACGATGGAAATAAGGCATTGGAATTTTTGATCAGAATATCCGATACCATTGGGCTGATGTCTGCAGAAGACATTCCCAAAATTGTTAAAAATCTGGCTGACAGATATAAAATTGAACCAGAAGCTGCTGTCAGAGCAAAGATATTTTGGGTGTTTGCCGAATGTGGAGAACTGATGTATGATTCCGTTGAAAAAACTAGGATCGTTAACGATACAGCCATGCTCTTGAAGAACGAGCAATCTCACAGGGTAAAGAGTCAGGGTCTGGCAACTTTACTTAAACTCGGTGATCACAATAGGTGCGCGTTAAAAAAAGGTTGATTTATTTTATTATATTTTTGACAAGTAGTAACTCACTGTAATTGTAATTTCAGAAGTTTGGTTTTAAAAGTCGCCAGAGACAATTTACCAGATACATGGCATGGGGTACAGACGAGATGTCTCTCCATAATTGGACGCTATTTATCTGCCAATGCTGTTGATGATACTCTAGTGCTAGTTAACAATTATGCCAAATCTCAAGACCCTCGCGTGAGAGCTCGAGCATTTGAAACAATGGCAGAGTTACACTCTCATCGAGGCTGCAGACTCCCAGCGAGCTTTTTTGAAGAAGCCTGTAAATGTCTGCGAGATGATTACGAAATAGTTAGACGCGCTGTGTTGAAATTAATTTGGCTGTTGGGAAACGATTATCCCGAAATGTAAGTGATTCCATGAACATTTTTTTAGTTTCATGGCATCATGGTTTGTAAAGAGATATCGAATAAATGTTGTCTTTTATTTTTAGTGTGATCTCTGGTGGAAAAGAGTGGGCCGAGGACATGAAAATGGTTGACAGTGCCTTTTGCAAATTGTGCAGCTTAATGGGTGACCTTTCTCCAAAGGTAAGAGCTTCAGCGATGTCTCTACTTGGATCACTGAAAGGAGTATCTCGTCGCCACATAGAGCAGGCATTGGACAAAAAACAAATAAGAGTCGAGGATGAAGGTGCGGAAGTAGGAGAGCGGACTGGAATAAACACTTGTGGCGCCTTTATTCACGGTTTGGAGGACGAGTTTTTAGAAGTACGAATTTTCAATGAATTAAAAAAAATGAGAAAAAAAGATATTTATTTTGAGACTGCTGTTTTTTTTTTTTATTACTTATAGGTCCGGACTGCAGCAGTTGAATCTTTATGTTTATTGTCTCTGGAAAGTCCTGATATTGCCCACATTTCATTGGAATTTATGGTTGACATGTTCAATGACGAAATACAAGATGTCCGTATGAGAGCCATCGAGTCGTTGAGAAAAATGTCGGGCAGTGTCACTTTAGGCGAAGACCAACTTGAAACTATTCTAGGAGCACTTGAAGACTTTTGTGGTGAAGTGAGAGAAGGTCTTCATGTTACCTTGGGAGCAAGTCGCGTGGCAACGAAAAAATGCCTAGAGATGTGCGTCGCTAGATTATTAGATAATTTAGGTCGGTATCCGCAAGATCAAGATAGTATATACAATTGTTTGGCGACAATGGGAGCATCTCACCCATATTTGACTTTGCCCCTTGTACCACAATTGTTAGAGCAGCATCCATTTTTCGACACTCCAGAGCCCAATGTTGCTCTGCCAGCATGTATCCTTTTTTTTTTGTTTTTTATATCTACAACACTTGTTTCAGAACTATTAAAGTTTTATTCCTCAACGTTTTATCATAGATGTGAGCAAATTAATATTGATATTCAATGCCGCGGCTTATTGTCCCAGTATGCATTCTCTGTTCACACACCATGCTGTGAAACATTATCACTATTTGCGCGATACCATGCCACATTTGGTTCCCAGATTGAAACCTGCTTTATTGATAAGTAGCACGGGTCGCATCGATGAAAAATTAAAGGATGAAGAAATGGAGGACGGCAATGCTCGAGAATTTTTAAACAAAATTATTACCGCGGTGGAACACGCAAGACCCGGAGGCAGGGTTTACACGCAACTTTTGGAAGCAGCAGCTACAGACTTGGATCGATTAGCCGAGATGGATTTGAGGATGGAGGGTGTTGCCCGATTTTCAGCCTTGTATGTACGTTGTCTGCTTCTGCTAAGACTAATCGTGAAACAGCTGACACTTTCGCCAACCATGATAAGCTCGAATACGTTGCTGAACGTTGCAAAAAAGATCACCTCGCTTCACAAATATTCACAACAGTGAGAAAATCAGTCGTTTTAAAAACCATCTTACCAAATGTTTCTATTATTTATGATTTAAATGATCAAATACACGAATAATCTTGTAGGCTTGTGCGATTATTTATTGGACTGGAGGATAATCAAGTTGCTTTGGCTAAAAATGTTTGGCTCAAAGCATTAGCGTTGGATTTGATCTTCGCGACGAATAATGATCCTACCAACGCGGGGAATGTATCTCGACAGTTTCTCGCGGAAACGGATTCTCTGCCACAGGACACCACAAAATTGCCACCATTCTCAAAAGCTTTGGTCCATCACTTGGCAGCAGTCGGTGAAGCTAAGCCAGCTACTCTCACGAGAATTCTGGTACCTCTGCTAATTAATCTACCGCAACCAGGCGATGATAAATTACCTAGGCCCCCGCAATCTACAAAATACTGTCAGGCTATCATCGAAGAACCAGTTAATGATTCTGACACTGTTTACAAATTCACAGGAGGACTTATATTAGGTAAATTTGAAATTTTACGGTTGATCCAGCATGTAAAATATTTACGTATCATTGCATCAATTTTTTTAGGCATTCCATTGACAGCCAAAATTTTAAATTTACGTGGTCCAAGTGCCATAAGAATAAAATTGCGATACCCAGATCAGAAAGTTCAATTGCTTCTGCCTCGTAAATCGGATCTTAAACTTCAAAATAATGGCAAAACAGATGATTACAGATTGAGAACAACAGTACTCTTATCGCACCAAGTATGGATGGAAGCTTGCTCCGTTGACATATCGATAGCACTGCTCGTGGGCTCCGGTACATGTAACCATCCACCATTGGATGATCCTTGCGTTATAGACTTGTGCAAACCTACTAAAATTTCCGTATCACCCAAACAGGTCAAAAGAGGAATATAATTATATAAGTTTTTTTGTACATTATGAACTAGAAAGTTTTTTGTTTTTTTTTTTTTTTTTTTTTTTTATATAAAACCTTACCTTAGCTTCTTACACTACGATAACGTGTATAAAGACATGTGATATATTCTTGACAATACAGTTTTCTTACTAGGGTAAAAAAAAAAAAAAAATTAAGATAAAAAAAATAGCCATTTATTTGATTATTGCAACAGAATTTGTTATAAGAAAACTGTGTACAGTCGAAGGATGTAGTTATCGCCAGCTTGAGAATGAACTTGACCTGAAAAAAAAATTTTTTTTCCTTTTTTATAAAATATAATCTAAAAAAAATTTATCAAATCATTTAACATTTTTGTTATTATACCCCTGAAATGCTTGTGGTTTTTGCTGTTCTGTAGTTTTTTGGGCCAAACTGCCAAAAGATAATCCATCTGATTGGGAGCCCAAGGCTTCAAACGTGCTGCTACCGAAAACTTTATTTGGACTCGTACTACCAACGGCGGAAGTTGCTCCGAAAGTTGACGGACTTCCAAAGCCTATCATTAGAAATTAAAGTTTTGAAGCTTTGGCACTTATTGTAAAACGAACTTATTAAGAGTAAGTTTAATTTACCTGTATTTGGTGTAGCTCCAAAAGCTGGAGGTGCACCAAAGCCGGCACTACTTCCAAATCCAGTTGTGGTAGTTCCAAACGTCGATTTCGACCCAAAGGTTGTCGGCTGTCCAAATATCGTGCCAGATGAGGCCGTACCTCCAAACATGGAAGTGCCGCCACTCAACGCGGGTGGACCACCAAAAATAGAACCGCCACTGGGCGCAGTACCTCCGAATACGGATTGAGGCGATGCAGCACCGCCAAAGATGGAGCCGCTTGCCGTTGCTGTAGTAGTTGGCGAGCCAAATATCGATGTTGCTGAGGTCGCTGATACCGGAGCGCCAAATGGTGATGGTACATTCGTGGCTGTCGAAGAACCAAATATCGATGTTGTCGTAGTGGGGGCAGCTGATGATCCAAACAGCGAAGACCCAATGGTGGCAGTTCCACCAAAGACAGAGCTCTTTGGAGTCGCTGCGCTTGTACCAAACGTCAAAGTGCTCGACATAGCAGTAAACGGTGAGCTTGTTGCTGCACTACTTCCTCCAAACACCGGAGAAACTGCTGTGGTTGTTACAGTTGTGGCTGCTTTTGTTCCAAACGGACTAGCAGCTGTTGCTACCGCACCAAAGACGGACGTGTTTTGAGCTGCTGTAGTACCACCAAATATCGACGGGCTCTGTGTCGTATTGCTACCGAATATCGATCCACCACTGGTACTTGGCGTTAAGCTAGATCCAAATACCGAACCTACAGTGCTTGGCGTGACTTGACTTGATCCAAATAACGATCCACTACTACTTGGTGTTACGATACTAGTTCCAAACACACAAGTTCCACTGCTGGAGGTTGTTGTAGTACTGCCTCCGAAAAGCGAAGCACCACTACCAGCTTGAGTTGTAGCACTAGATCCAAACACTAGCGGAGAAGGAAATTAATTAATTTTTTGAAAACAAGAAATAAATTTGTTTCAAAATAATTGGAAAAATACTATATGTACCACTGCTAGATTGTGTCGTAGTAGTTGTCGCAGCAGTTGCAGTTCTTCCACCAAACAATGAAGGGCTTAAGGTCGACGAATGAGTCCCAAAAATCGAAGAACTATGAGTTGTGGTTGCCGGTGTAGCTGTTGTTGTTGGCTTTGAGCTAAAGAAAATATTACCATTGTCATTGCTGTTGCTGCTACCAACGGCCAACTGGCTTTTCACTTCCAAAGTTGCAGGTGTCGCGAGTTTATTGAAGTCACCCAATATCGATGTAGCGTTTGCAGTGGCGGTTACCACGCCACTGCTTAATGGAGTCGATACCGTAGAAGCACTGGAAACATCGTTTTTGGCTGCTGATTTATAATTACCGAAAATGTTACCGATAGTTGGCGAGCCTGAACTAGCAGTCGAGCTAGTTACCATCGAGCCAAAGTTGAGCGATGCTGTTGCACCCAGTAATCCGGCCAAGCTGAAATAAAATTAAATTATAAAGGCATTCTATTGCAATAATAATGTTAAAAAATACCACTAGTTATACTTCGGAGCGGAGGACAAAGTCGTTAAAGTATCAGCTTCCGCCGGTTTTGTCGGGGAGGCGGTTGACTGCTGGTGGCTGCTGTTAGGCAGAGTCATGATGGACACTGATCCCAACGTGGCGCTACTTCCACCAGAAGAAGAAAATGTAGGCAATGTAGTTGTCACCGTTGAGGTACTCGAACCCTGAGCACTGGTAGCTGCAGTACTGGATGATGGACTTTGGCTCAACGCAAGACTGCTCGGAGAACTCGTGGCAGTCTTTCCAAATGACGATAATTGTTGTCCTATGGCTTGTCCAGAAGCCGACTGTGACGTATCGACTTGATTACTACTGCTGCTGGTTGCCGTCGACGAGAGCGACAGCTTTGGTGGTTCTGCCGGGGCCGTGAACGGTTTGCTCAAGTTCAAGCCGGTCGACTGACTCACTGTTGAGTTCAAACCCATTGAAAATTCGACCCCTGATGGGACGCTGTCGACTTTTGGGATAAGTGATGCGAAATTCGCAGCAGTTGTTGACACGGAGAAATTAAATATGGGAGCGGCCGAGGTACTCATTGCTGTTGCAGATGTTGTCACCTGCAGATGAGTTTCAGCTCCCACCTTACTAAAGGAAAACGAGGGAAAGTTCGTGTCGCTAGCTGGAGCCTTGGTTTGACTCGAGACTTGGGTATCATTGCTAGCAATGTTGAAAGGTCTACTGATTACTGAGTGCGACGGCTGCTGCTGTTGTTGGCACTGGAGGTAGTTCATTGGACCTGGAGAAAACGAAGACTCGGATTTTTGCTGTGACCCAGGCAACGTAGCTGCAAACGACATCGTGGCACTCGGTGATTTGTTCAGGATGTTCGGCGCATTACCTGTGCCTCCCAGTCCAGTAACCAAGTTGTCTAGCGACGAGAGTGGGTTGGTAGTTGACTTGGTTCCCCTCATCATCGACGTTGTCGTCGGTGTCGTCGTCTTAATTGCCACCCCATCAGCTGGCGAGGTACGCGTGTGATTCGATTTGGACATTTGCTGAGCTTCCACAAAAGTCTTGCCCTGTTTGGAGTTGGGGGGCAGTTGAATATCTTTTGACAAAGCTAAAGATGATAATGTCGCTTGCAATCGATCTTGTACAGCAGTTGGCTTGACTGCTGAAATAACCTTGGGCTCGGTAACAGCTAGCAAATCCCTTAGCTTAGCCTGCTTTACCCTGCTGAATTTACGAGAAGCGGCCGTAATGAATTTACATCGCAAATCCATTGCAGAATCGTTGAGCGTTGTATTGGATGTCTGATGGGACAGTTTCAAGCTGGCCATGGATCGATCCAAGACGGTCAGTCCGTCAAGTGTACTGCCACCACCACGAGTTATTTTGCGCCACTTTTTCGTCAACTCCTCTATAGTCGCTTTTTCTTGGGCAATAATTTGATTTTGTTTCATCAAGCTCTTCAAAATCATTTCTGTAGTAGGCAACTTCATCTTGGAAAGCTCATGATTTTTGCAATCGTCCCATTCCAAGTCTAGTGCTTTTGTCGTCTGAGTCAATTGCATCTGGGTAAAATAATACAAGCGCTCGAGTTCCGCGAGTTTGTTGCTCTCGTTGCGACTTGGACCGGTAAGATTATTAGTGTTTGTACAACGTTTTGATTTGCTCTCCTCCAGCCAGGCAAATGATTGCAACAACAGGGACTTTAAATACGATACATCCGTTTCTAAACTTGTAGTCGTATCTTGCAGCTCTTTGAAAAATTCTTCCATCTCGTTGGTTCGTTTGACGAGCAGTTGACGCTCCTCGTCGGTCCCACAACTCCAAGAGGGCATCTCGAGTTTCGCTTTGAGCTCCGTTTCGAATAAAGACTGTTCTTCGCGAAAAGCCTGCAAGCAAATTTCATCGTCATAGACGGGCGCTGTTTGCTTGGACGGGGAAATCGAATGCGACTCTTCTTTAGCTGATTCTTTTGGCAGTTTTAGTTCGGTCTGTGCTGACGCCGGAGGGATGCTCGAAATTTTTCCCTCTGTGTTGGGAGACGATTGTTTCGCACTTGGCAGCACAGCTGGTTTGCCCTGTTGAATCGGTGGTGGTGGTGGTGCAAACATTGGCTGTTGTTGCTTATTTGTCGTACTTGGTTGCTGCATAAAATTATTTTTTGCATCTACTTGAGTAGTTATTTTAGTTTCGGTTGGTGCAGCGAATCCAATGTTTTTTGGCTGATTTGTCATTTGACCGTGTTCAGGAGTTAATTTAAATCCCAATCCTGAAAACGAAAAGCTGGGAGCCTCGGCAAACGTATTTGTTGTGTTTGTCAATTTTATTCTATCCGGTTGTGGTACTTGTGGACTAACAAGGCTTTTTTGTGGTGTGCTGGTGGCTCCTGAAGGTAAATTGAACGATACTTCGGCTGGACCAAGACTTGGTGTCGAAAGCACAGGAGCGGAAACTATTTGAGTTGGTGGTGAGCAAATAACTGGCGCTTCGTTTTTCAAATTAACCATGTGATAGCAGCACATTTGGCCACTGGTTACAATTATTCTTAAAATAGGAACTGGGTTTGGCAACGTGCTGTCGGGACCCCATGGTAATTTTTGAACGCTAGTCTTGTCAACGGCGATACCAACGGGATAATTCTCTGTTCCTTTTTTTCTATTTAAAGGTAACTGACCTGTGCCACCCTCGACAAGTTGCCACAGATTCCAGGTTGCTCCATTATCAGCAGTACCCAAAACTGCCAACTCCGAACTATGAGTACTAGCTGCAACGATGATTCCCCACTCAGCTATGTATTCAAAATAATAATAAAGATTGTCCCTTGGACCACCGCCGTACGTAATGTCTTCGTAATTTGTAAACTTTGGGACAGTCACGCCTTTTGGTGCGTCAACAATCATTACAGTGACGCGCTCCTCACCGTCATGATAATAACACGCACAAAATTGATAATTGCTGATCCACAAAATTGAAACAATCGCTCCTTCACTTGGATTCGGTCCAGTTAAATGTCTAGCTACTTTCAACTCTGGCTTCAATTGAACAATATCCCCATTTTTACAGCCAATGACCAGTTGTTTTCCTTTGGGGCTCCATGAAACACACATCGCTTCTAAATTGGAAGGTTTTTCTTTTCCTATGATATGTATGCCTTTATCCTTATTAACTTGAAAGCAACCAACAGTGTGATCACTTGTAACAGAACACAGTACCTCTGGTATCGCTGGGTTCCATTTTAAGTCTGACACAGTGATGTGTCCCGCGCTAGAGGACAGTCTGATATCGTACAATTTGTCTAATTTCTAGTAACAAAAAAAAAAAAAAAAATATCGAATGGATTGGATTGACAACAGCAAAATCTTATCATGCTAAAGAAAAAGAAAGTAAATTAGGCATACGTGTTTCATAATAGAACCAGCATCATAGATTATGGCCATGGGCTCGTTGAGAGTGACAGCCAGGTACGTATAATCGCAGTTTATTTCAACTCTGCAGGCTGTCAGAGGTAAATCCAGCTCCAATCTCCATTCCGGAATCGAGCCGGGTCCTGGTCTCACGACAATCAATTTTTTTTCATGACCTATGTACAACAAACCACGCTTTCCATCGGCTGCAATTATACTAGAGGCTGTGGGTATGTATTGAAACTCGTCGCATATTTTGCCCACACTTTCCTCTTTGAATAAAAAATCCTGAAAAGCCACATGATGAATTTTTCGGCCTCCGAAGCAAACAATTACTTGGTATAATTATTCGTGAGATATTATAGTAGAGTATACCTGAACATTGAGCGGTGGAGGACAACAATTAACACTATCCGTCATTTTCAAATTTGCTCTTCTTCAGCGTTAAGTTAAAACGACAATGATGTCAGTGAAATGTGTATTCTATACAAAAATTATTGCACGTATAATTTTATAATTGGTAAACGTAAAAGCGACGTACACAAATTTGCACGTTACATATCACAACAATAATTAACCTTAACTCGTGTTCAATGTATATAGAAGTACTTTAGTGTTATAATTCTCAACCATCTTTCACGATTCGGTTTTTACGAAACTGATCCGATCATTCCGATCCAGTTTTTAATTTTAGAGATTGATGGTGTGTGTGTGCAGTGTGCACGTACACTGCGTGGACTACTTGTTTCACCCAACCCAACCCAGCATTACAAAAGACGCCAGGAAAATCAAAAATAATTTTCATTATTTATACAAATGCCGTAAAAAACTTAATTTTATTAAAATACATGTACACCCATGTTATTGATCATGAATGTATAACACGTCAGTTTTTCGAGTCATGAGAAAATTAAATTCCGCTTATCTCAACAAAATAGTTTTCGAGTAAAAAATTCACATACTTGATATATATATATTATACATTTGATACTGCAAATTTTTTAGTCAAAAATATTGAGTTTGAAAAAAACTATTGGGTAAGGTATGAGTACTTTAGATTCGTTCAAACCCCCCTTTGGTTCGGTTCGGTTCGGTCTGGTCGGTTCTGGGACCAAAAAACATTTCATATATACGAGAGTGGCTCTAGAACCGACTGACTCGGACTTTTGGTTCTCGAACCAACTCTCGTGAACGCGTGTGTTTTTTAGTCTTTTGGTCCCAGAACCACCGAACCGAAATTTGAACGAACCTTTTTATACGCTCTCCCCTCATATGCGTTTGGCATTTGATTTATGTGTTGTGTGTTTACTTATATATTTCCTTACCTACTGATAGTATTGATGTTCTAATTTCCAATTTAATCTGACAATCTGTTCGTGCAAAAGTAAACATTTACACAACATACATTTACACATAGAAACTCAATTTACGAAAAATTAAGTTTCGTTAACAAACTCGTTCAAAGATTATCAACTGAAATATCGTAAACCGACAGTAAAAAAAAAAAAAAAAAAAAAAATACCAAATTTCATTACAAGAGGTTGGTGTGCATTTACTCGTCCTTCATATTATTGATAATCAGTACATTTCGAACAATATTCCCAATCTAATTCTACTCTGACCTATGTCTGGACAGCATATAATTAAAAGGACGATTCGTGAGCACACAGTGCAAGAGAAACGTGAGCTGGTTACACACGTCAATTGACAAATTGAAGAAAACAATGGGCATTTATTTGGTGTGGTTTATAAACTTTATCTGTCGGAGATTGTTTATGAAAAAATAAGAAACAAACAAGTAGCGCAAGGCATACAAATACACGTTTGAGATATTTTGGACGCCCTCAACCCTCCTTGAATACCACTTCTAATCTTATACCTGTGATATTTTAAAATGGCTTTATACGACAATCCACATTGGATGTTAGTATATATTAAGGACAGTTTTATGTACAGCGACAAGACAGGTTTTTTTTTTTCAATCAATATTAACTAATTGATTCTCTTTTTCTTTTTTTGCAAGGTACACATATGGCTTTTTTATATATTTCCAGGCAAAGCAGAAAGTGTTATGATAAAAGATGATTTTCCTAAGATTTTACAAAGTAAAGGTATGGAACCATTGCCTGAAGCTGTAGATAGCGATGAAGAAGATTTTGAGGCTGTAATAGGCTCTAGTGATATTGAGATTGGTAATTTAGGAAACTTTGGTAGGTTATTCAGCTTTAAGTTTTCGTTAACTTGATTAGCATGCGGGTAATTATTGAAAATTTGTTCATAGATAAGGAATATGGTCACAGGCATAGAACAAGTACAGCTCAGCGTTTGGAAAGATTGGATATGGAAAGAAATAAGGCATCCAAAATCAAGCACATTAAGTGGGAATACAATCCAAACAATATTAGTGCGGAAGAGCAAAAAGAATTGTTTAAAAAAAAAGATTTGCAAATGATCAAACTGGAAGATATTGCTAGTAAAAGATCTTTACTTTCGGAACAGCTTGAAAGGAGCAAAACTACACCTCTTAATCCTTTTATGGCTTATGCAAAATACGATGGGGATGTGAGTGGAGACCCTACATTTTTAAGAAATATTAATTTGTTTTTAATGTTAGGTGAAACTAAAATTTTTCATCTAGATACACATTGGAGTACCTGTAAAAAAAATAAAGATATTTATGTGCATGCTTCCTACAGACCAAAGATCATACCCTTTGCACGTTGCTGTTACTACAAATGCCACAGTTGAAGAATTTATTGGACTTATATTCTATAGATATTTCAATGTTCATTCCGAAATGAAATTTCAGTGAGTTTGTGACATTATTTAACTTGAAATTCAATAATACAGACAACTCCAATTTAATTTATTTCTAGACAAGACCTCAGTAAATACGGATTGTACATGGCAGAAGATGATGGTGAAGTGGATCGAGATTTTCCTTGTTTGGATCCAAAAGAAATGATGGCAAAGTTTGACTTTGCAACGCTAGGCCTTGTTGAATTACAACCCAATGAAAAAGAACGTCATGATACTATTAAAACTTTGACAACTCGTAAGAATGAGTTGGAAAAGATAGATAAATTGCAAGAAGTAGCTAGTGATCTTGCTAAAATGGCTGTACATACTAACGCCATGGAAGCTCCTTTTTATCAATCTTACAGGTTTGTGCGATTTTTTTGAATTAATGCCACTTACATTTTTGGTCACTCAATTATAAAAAAAAAAAAAAAAAAAAAAAAACCTTTATTTTAGAGTCTGCATCATTAATAAAGTTAGAACAAAGACTGAAGTACAACTCGGAATATCTGGGGAAAAAATAGAAATTGATCCTGTTATCACCAGTAAAGGTGCTAGCAGATTTTGGCATAGACAACGAGCTGTAACACACAACATGAACAATGTTGCTTTTAGTGGAGTAATAGATTTTAAAGGATCAAAATCCATTTTTACATTAATAATTAGCCACTGCGATCCTCACATTTCTAGAGCATTAGAAGGCTTAAATGGTAAATAGACAGGGTAATTTTTAAATTAATAAACATTCTTATTCAGTATCTTTAAATTATAATTTTCGCAGTATCCATTAGCGGCACTCGATCTCTTAGGCGATCAGCATCATTTAAAAGTTACGAATTCGAAGCTGAGTCTGCTGTTGCCAATGAAATAGTAACAAAAATAAATTCTATATTGGAAATGACAAGCAGTGCAACAGTGAAAGAGTATCAAAATTATAAAGACCGTAAAGCTAGAAGAAAAAGTTTCCACACCCACAGATGACCACTTTACTATGTTACACGTTTTGTTGTTGTTGAATAAAAAAAAAAAAATTAAAAAAATATTATTTGAAACTCATTACAAATGTAAATTGCAATAATTAAAATTATATTTCAGTTAACCATTATAAGAAAAAAAAAATGTCCAGTGAGTAATTGCCAGGTTTTAAAAAATATTTGATCTTAGAAGTATTAAATATGTTAATGTATGCTACTTGACAGTAGAAATAAACACTTGTGACTAATTGTAAGATATTTGTACAATTAAGTTCATAATTAAATGTGAAATTTTTTTAATACTGTTGAGTTTTTATTTACTTAATACAATTTCAATACAATAAAAAGTAATACATAAAAGTTGCCTTAAAATACGTATCTTATTCTAACTCTGAAAATTGAATGATCCTGTGCATGACACTAACTGTTTCACTCTTTAGTTTTTCCACTGACTTTAAAGCACAATTTTCAGCACAAAGATTTAAAAAAGTTACTTTTGATGCCATTGCATACAGTTGAAAAACGTTTTTGTTAAACTCTTCATAGTCCGGCCTTTCTTTCAGAAACACTCTTTCAGAATCAGATAGAAATGAGGTGTCTAAAGACTTTTCTTGATTTTTATCCCGTTTCATCAAGTCCTGCACTCGAGATTTTCTTTTTGTATAAACCTCACGCCACTGCTTGTCCTCCTCACTCAAATCATTCATGTACTTTTCAATATCAAATAACTCCGATTCACTTTCAAGTTTTAATCTTTTTGTTTCTGGAGTCTCTGGACTAGTTTCTTCGGTAATATTTGCATTTTCAAGATCTAGAATTAAAAGTAAGTATGATTGCAATTGATGTTATTCAGATATTAAAAAGAAAAATAAAAATTTAAATAACTAAAGAACCTTTTTCTTTGGGGACAATCGACTGCCTCTGAAAGATCAGAGATCTTCGCTTGTTAATTGGACCAATCTCTAGATGGCTAATGTTTTCTTGTTTGGAGTGATCCATTTTTTCATAATGCATACATTTACACATAGAAACTCAATTTACGAAAAATTAAGTTTCGTTAACAAACTCGTTCAAAGATTATCAACTGAAATATCGTAAACCGACAGAAAAAAAAAAAAAAAAAAAAAAAAATACCAAATTTCATTACAAGAGGTTGGTGTGCATTTACTCGTCCTTCATATTATTGATAATCAGTACATTTCGANATTAAAAAGAAAAATAAAAATTTAAATAACTAAAGAACCTTTTTCTTTGGGGACAATCGACTGCCTCTGAAAGATCAGAGATCTTCGCTTGTTAATTGGACCAATCTCTAGATGGCTAATGTTTTCTTGTTTGGAGTGATCCATTTTTTCATAATGTTGAAAAATAATAGAATCAACTAAACTGAATGCTTATAATCATTTTTATAACGGTTATTTTATAGAGAGAGTAGCAATGGTAAAGTTAGGTACCTTAGTCGTGAATACGAATTCCAGATAGACCAAGAGCTGAGGCCGAAGGGTGGTCAAAATTTTAACCAGCCGCTACTCTCATCAGAATTGAAGAACCTTATGATTCGAGGAGATCCGAAATATTTCGGTCATATTTCATAGTGGTGAAGAGTTATGTGGTAATTATAGTAGTGCCGTACGGTCTTTTTTATTAACCAGCCGCAACTTACACCAATAGATAGAAAATAAAAAGTGGTCAACTGGATGTGCCATTTGCGGCAAGATTAGAATGCATCTTGTACCCGAAATTCAATCTCCAAAAATGTAGACTCTCTACCCGATCTTATGTATAATACTCATCTAAGATAATAGATGAGGCATCATAGATAACATTGTAGATAAGAATACAATATCTACATTTTTGGAAGTCGATTTTCGGGTACAAGATGCATTCTAATCTTGCCGCAAATGGCACATCCAGTTGACCACTTTTTATTTTCTATCCATTGGTGTAAGTTGCGGCTGGTTAATAAAAAAGACTATGCGGCACTACTATAATTACCACATAACTCTTCACCACTATGAAATATGACCGAAATATTTCGGATCTCCACGAATCATAAGATTCCTCAATCCTGGTGAGAGTGGCGGCTGGTTAAAATTTTGACCACCCTCGGACCTCAGCTCTTGGTCTATACCAGCTATAATATACCTGTACTGACACTATACTATTCGAGAAAATTCTTCAGCCGATGGGTACCTATGTAGATACTTATCTAAAAGTGTGACACTCCAAACTCGAAACTCTGAAATCTGAGAGCTCGTACTTTAGATCTCAGCTTTAGCTGTACGTTTGAAATTCGAATCGTCGACTAAGATATATTTATACGAAGCACAAATAGATACAGAAAATTCCCAATACTGTGATAACAAATTGCCATTTGCCAAGTCAAGTATATATTCAGAGCTGTAAAGAAGAACGAGGTATTTACATATTCGTCAACAAGTTGGTGGTGTGATTACAAGTTTTTGATTGAATTTTTTTATCTACAGGAGAAAATGAGCATGTCATCGCGTATCAACGAAGTAAGTGTTCGTTACTAACTTTATTGAGCTTTGGTTTTTTTCACAAAAACAATAACATTTGAAATGCTTAAAAACTGCACGTGTATGCAAGATTTCAGTAAAAAGCACGTGGCAAATACACCTGCACTAAATATTTTGAATATTTACTAAGTATACTATACTTACTCGAGAACGTTCTAGAATAATACGATTGTACCTCACAGATAGTCACACATGTGCATTATTTTTCTTTGTTTTAGTAGGTGTTGACTTTACGGTTTTCTGTTAGTCAAAAGTAAAGCGATTCATTAATGCATGAATTTAATATGTAAAACTACTTAGCTTTACTTATGATGTAAAAATTGAATAAATTTCTTTTTAAAAATGTGTTCTTCTGTTTTTAGATTAAACTAGATCTCGAAGATCTCAATTCCTTGCTGGAAAACGCCACACGTCAAAAGTCTAAGGATTTGATTTCCCTTGAAATAAGAAGATTGCAGTCAGAATTAATCAATGTACAGAACCCGGTAGAACTTCAGGATGTAGAAATGAAATCTGCTAAAGGAGTCCCCACTGGGAAAAAATGCTACGATATCAAATTAAATAATTATGCTTGGGATCAATCTGATAACTTTGTCAAGTTGTATGTCACCCTCAATAAAGTAGAGTCCCTTCCAAAGGAAGCAGTGTATTGCAAATTTTCTGACAGATCGATGGAACTGCATGTTACTGGCCTCGAGAATAAAAATTACATCCTTCCCATCAATAATTTATGTGAAGCCATTGATACAGAAAAAAGTTATACCAAAGTCAAGACAGATATGATTTATGTATACTTAGCCAAGAAGACTAAAAAAACTTGGTCTCACATAACAACTGTTGAAAAAATGTTGAAGGAAGCCAAATCTAACATGTTTAAGGATGACACGGACAACCTCAGCGCCGATCCGAATGCTGGTATTATGAATATAATGAAGAAAATGTATCAGGAAGGAGATGATGAAATGAAAAAGACAATTGCCAAGGCTTGGACAGAGAGTCAAGAGAAAAAAGGAATGGGATCAGACTTGCCAGGTTTTTAAAAACATTTGATATTAGAAGTATTAAACATGTTAATGTATGCTACTTGACAGTAGAAATAAACACATGTGACTGATTATAAGGTATATGTACAAGTTCACAATTAAATGTGGAATTTTTTTTAATACTGTTGAGTTTTTATTTACTTAATACAACTTCAATATATAGTTTACTTATGTAGAATTTTTCAGTTGTATTCTTGATTTCTTTCGTTCTTTTATATTATTCTTGATTGCTACATAAAAACTTTTTTAGTTTAAATTACATACCAAATTTACAAAACACTAAATAAATAGGAAAATACTCATCTAGGGAATGTATCCAGTTTAAGACAATGAGTGAAAAAAATGCACAATAATTGTTTATTATACCAGGGAATCGTATTTTGATAGTGGAATTTCAAAAGTTTCAATAATTTATATTTTTTTGAAATTTCATCTTATTGATTTGATTCCCTCAACGACATCTATAAATGTATATAACTTCAAAAGATATTTATTTCATAACTTACAAATATTGGTAACATGATATCTGACTGACTTTTTCTCTGAGTCTTTTAATAAGCGTTTGGATTGCATACTCGCAAAAAAGTTGAATCACACTTTATCTTACAATTTCGTGTCCATAACTATTTAGAGGGTTTTACAATTAATTTGGTAGTATACAATTCAAACGTACATAATAAAAATTATGCAGATGCTGTGGTTTGTTATATTCATACAAACTTTTTTGACAGTTTGCTCTGTACAAGGGGTATTTATCACCGGTTTTACATTTCTAATGGTATAACTATAAAACTAGCCGTTATTCATAAATTTAATTTAATTGGTCATATTAGTAACGATAATTGAGCATTATTTTTTCAATTTGTCTAGTTTTGATATAATGTTTCATTTATGTTCATGATTAAACTTAAAAAATTAAAAATAATTTTTGAAAAAAAACTGATATTTATTCAAAACATACTTAAAGAGAAATTAACGAATAGTAAGGCACGATTGTTTGATAACTGTTGGAGTTTCAAATGTTTAATTGATTTTTTTTATTAAAAAAAATCTGAGATCAAATAAATGGCTAGAGTTGATTTGGATAAAAATTTTTAATATATACACTATCAGTTATCTACATTATGCAATAATAAAAAATAAAATCATAAGAGGTACAAATAAAAATTGCGCATTTGAAATTTTAAGTTGAGAAGAATATTGAAAATTTAAAAACAATAAAATACAATTTAATACAATCCATTATTAAAATACATAATATCAGTAAATTTTCTCCAGTCTACTAAATTTGATTGCAATAACAATTGAAATACTGATAAGTTCCAAATATTGAACCGATTCTTTTTTAATCAACAAAATAACATAAAATTTTTATACATTGTTACCCGCACTCTGGAGCTTTCCATTAATCTTATATTCTACCGTTCTTCTTCTTCTTTGGTAATCCTAAATGACGATAGTATTTCTTGATTAGTTGAATTAAATACTTGTGACATTAAATCTTTGGTTTTTTCTAATAAATCAGGAACATCTTTGACTTGTAAGCCTTCGGTCGAGATTGGTGGTAAGGCTGTAATTATCACACGTCCTTGAAATGAAAAAAATTCAACCTACTATCAAGATCATGATGCGCAAAAGTAAAATTTAGCATATTAGTATGGAGAATAAACCTGAATCCAAGCGCTTTTCCGACTTAGACATAAAATAATAAGACGAGTATACCACTGGCAATATCGGTAACTGAGCATTAATGGCAACATGAAAGGCACCCTTCTTAAATGAGTGAATTTGTCCAGTGTTGCGCCTTGTGCCCTCCGGGAAGATCCATAATTTAGTCTGACAAATTTTAAAGCATCAAAGCATGTTATTAAATAGTGCTAAGGTGATCAGCGGAATAAAGCTCGATAAAGTTTTATGTTGCTACCTTATTATCTTTCAAATGTTCAACTGCCGTATTGATGACAGACCTTGCTTTTTCAGAATTCATCCTGTCAATAAAAATAAGTCCACACAACCAAGCTGCTAGTCCAAAGGGCCAAGCATAAAAAAGTTCCCTCTTAGCAACTACAGTACATTTGTCCATTACTGGCCAGAGATCAAACATTCCCAAAATATCCAGTGAGCTTTGGTGATTGGCTACGATAACACATGCCCTCTCCTTCTCCAAATGTTCACGTCCTCTGATATGCCATCTTATTCCTAGTAAACTGCTTATGTGGTGGCATGCAGAAGAGGCTAATCTGTAAATAAGACATTTAAATAATTTACTACAATATATGGTCACATGATGGTAATTAGGTAATTGTTTTTCCTTTTACTTACAATAAATTTTTTACATTCTTAGGACGGAACATCATGATTGGTATGAGTATAATGGCATTCACCATGACAATTCCGTAATACACGAAGAACTTGAAATGGTAACGAAAGGTCTTGCTTCCCTCGTAGAGAAATGGCAATGAAATTAAGCAGATGCCCAGTATCCACTCGAGGAGAGATAGGGGTGCCGCGGTGATAATCGCCATTGTTTCGAGTTGTATTCAACCGAATTGGAAGATAATAGTAATGTACCGAGATATTATTGAACTCGGTACATCAAACCAAAAGCTTGTTCATTTACACATAACGACCTTGCGTTCTGCACTTGTGCTGCATGGATTTTTCCTCATATAACTAATGATAATTCATATGGATAATGATGATCCGATAACGGACAATAACGTTACCAAATACGAGTTACAAATATATTACGAGCAGTGCAGTTACTGCTATCGGGAATATTGCCGCAGCTGCTGCTGCTGCCACTGATGACGATATTTAATGATGTTATCATCACTGTGAAATAACATGATTTGCGGATAAAAAAAAGTTTAACAGCAAACGTTACTGATCGCCGTTCAAGATAAGTGTAGTTATTAGCGACAAAATAATTAATTCACGTTCAAGAGGTCCAAACACTCGATTATTTCTTTGAAGTACATCTGCTGCGTGTACCGCAGTGTGTCTATTCCTCCTTTGTAAATACTATGTAATTATTTACATTTTCGGCGCTTGTAGCGGATACTGCATCATATATAGGTAAGTACAAGTACACTTATTGATGTATACATACAGAGTGTGTCATCTATCAATAAAAAGGCTTCTCGCTTTCTGCGTCTCCCTTCAGCTGATTTTTTTTCCTCTCCTGCACTGCTTTTCGGTCTACCTACTTATTTCGCTCAATTATCTCGGCTTATCTTTTGCGCCTGCAACTTCCGTAAATTTATGGAGCGTTCACCCCGTACAGCTGTCAGTATACGTATACCTATATATTATGTATTACTTATATTTTTATCAACGAACAACCGAACTACCGAAGGCTGATATGACGGAGACACGCATGCACACACGACAGCACAGGCCAGAAGAATTAGTCGTGCCACGAGCAAGACAAACGCTACACTGATGACTGATCTTCGACCGAATCGTGACTCTCGGTGCTGGCTTTATTGATGATTGAAAATACCGCAACTATATATGACAGGCACGAGGGTGTAGATATGTGTGTGTGTGTGTCTAACCGTATATAAACACAAAGCCGCCTACGCCACAAGCCACAACGCCACCCTCGCGTGTTATTATTTGGTTTCAGGGGTGGTAAACGCAGGAGCATGCAGGGCTCTTATCCGTATCTTATCGGGTTCTAACAGTGGTGGTGAAACTAGTGAAAGTGAAAAACGCCATGGCACGAGTGCTACCTGGCGAAAGCTTTCAAAAACCATGCCGCTCGATGAGAAGGAACGACCCCGCTTATACCTACGTTGTATTATTGTTTTTTAATTAAATTGTAAATCAACTACCAAAGTGTCTTGTCGCAATGAAAAATATATAACAAGAGTCACGCAGTAGAGTAAAAAGGTAAACTCCCTGTAGGTACGTATGTACACACTCACGACTACCTTCATTATAATCAGGTGGTAAACAAATAAACATTAGCGTGAGTCTTACATTTATACGAGTCAATTTTATATTACCTACTGATTAATATCGGTTAAATGTTTTTTAATAGTGTAAAATAATTCGGAAAATATTGCTTTCAAATGCTTTGGACATATATATCCTTTACCGGTTATAAATGTAATTAGTAACTCGATAAAAAAGGTTTTTCAATTTTATAAAAAAAAAAAAAAAAAAAAAAAAAACCTTTATTTTAGAGTCTGCATCATTAATAAAGTTAGAACAAAGACTGAAGTACAACTCGGAATATCTGGGGAAAAAATAGAAATTGATCCTGTTATCACCAGTAAAGGTGCTAGCAGATTTTGGCATAGACAACGAGCTGTAACACACAACATGAACAATGTTGCTTTTAGTGGAGTAATAGATTTTAAAGGATCAAAATCCATTTTTACATTAATAATTAGCCACTGCGATCCTCACATTTCTAGAGCATTAGAAGGCTTAAATGGTAAATAGACAGGGTAATTTTTAAATTAATAAACATTCTTATTCAGTATCTTTAAATTATAATTTTCGCAGTATCCATTAGCGGCACTCGATCTCTTAGGCGATCAGCATCATTTAAAAGTTACGAATTCGAAGCTGAGTCTGCTGTTGCCAATGAAATAGTAACAAAAATAAATTCTATATTGGAAATGACAAGCAGTGCAACAGTGAAAGAGTATCAAAATTATAAAGACCGTAAAGCTAGAAGAAAAAGTTTCCACACCCACAGATGACCACTTTACTATGTTACACGTTTTGTTGTTGTTGAATAAAAAAAAAAAAAATAAAAAAAATTTTTACTACTCACGATGGTTGAACTTCNGTCTTTAAAATTATATATAAACTATGTATATAGGTATATTAAAAAAAAAAAAACGAAATCACAGGCCCTTGTGGCACCATTAACGTCCAATGTCAGCTTTATTATTTATTAAAAAAAAGTGCTGTGTTGTTCTCGGCCCTCGGGTTTTTCTCGAGCTCTCGCACTTCTCGCGTCTCGGCAATTGCAGCTCATGCATACAATCGTACTCTTATTATAAACATATACACTACACTCTCTAAACACAAAATACAGAGGGTAAATAGTAAATATGTATGGTAGGCATGTATAGGTATAGTGCAAGTGCATCTGCTGGTACTCGTGTTTGTGCATCACACTGCATCCGTATATAATATATATATATATACTTACCTTGTTACCTTTGCCGGCTTTTATATTATTGCCGCTAACGCCGCCGTCGTCGAGGCACTCGAGGTCTCACGAATCCCTCGACCGCAAAGGGTACGTAAATAGGTACTTCGTAAGTTTATCTATAGCCTAAGTATACAGCTGTTAAATAGGTTTACTGCAGATTGTACGAAGAGAGACATTATCAATAATCGTGCACGTGCATGTCACGGAATTACCTATACCTACCTGTATATGTACACGAGTGAAACTCTCTGCAGTTTAGCATATTTTTGTTGAAAAAAAAAAAGAGGTTATTCGGTAACTTTGTAGGTTGTTCTTGTGCAATTCACGCCTCATATACGCCATGTGAGGTAAGTACTTATCGTCCAACGTGTTTATCGTGACTGCCTCGTATGTGTATGATAGTTACTTATGTATGTTGTGCGTATTTGTAGTTGTGTTTTATTGTCAAAGAGAAAACGGAATATATTAACTTATTAGCGTAAGCCGTTAGCGCGAGTTTGTCAGAGAAAAGTTGAGGCCTCCGCGGCGTCGACCATGCCAGCCGGTGACAACGATGAAAGCCTAGAAGAGTTGAAAATGGTCGTGCGGGCGTTGCTCATCTCGCAAGGCCGCAGCGAGACTACGTTGAGAAAATTTTCCACCCTCTACCGAGAAGAGGAGGGTTCGTACCTCAACAGCTGGAAATACGGCTATCCGCACATCGAAAGCCTTCTTAGGAGCCTACCGGATACCTGTAGAGTTAAAACAAATCAGGCTGGTGAGCTCTGCGTCGCTGCCGTCGGCACCGAGAAAACAGCACATGTTAGTGCACTCATATCTAGACAAAGACCGCCCAAAAAGAGGGCTCGACCTATCGCTTACCGAGGACGCAACAATTACTATCAACGCCGTTATGATTTCCCACCACAGAGAAAGGCGACGACAACTTCTACGATATCCCCGGTCTCTTCCACTACTGTGCTGCAGGTCTTGACTAAGTTGAGAAATTCGTTAACGTACTCGAAAACCCGTGGTCTGCGAAAAATCGATGTCCTAGCCCTAGTTAAGTCGGGTCTTGGTAGTCGGGCTTCTACTTATCACGTTAACTCTTTGAACTTTCACTTGTGCGAACTCTCGCACATAGTCGTTGTAAAAGATGACTACATTTATTTCAAAGAAGATATAGTTGTCACACCGCTGATGAATAAGTCGGTGTCCTATCCCGTACCACATAACCAGATGCCACCGTTCAAACCACCACTTATAAATTCACGTCCTGTGATTGGTGTTTCTTCAAAGACAACTGATAACAAGTCGGCTAACCATCTAACGAGTAAACCTCAAGTTACTACGTCAAATGTCAGATCTACCATTTTGAAGCTCAACCAAGCCATTGACTTTTTTACTAAGGCTAATGGACCCATTAATTCTGATACTACAAATGATGTGACAAAATCAGCGTACAATCATACACCAATGAGTAAGCCCAATGACTCAAGTGTTCAAGGTGTGCATCAAGTGATGGTCAGTGAAACCACTATGACTGAAAATAAAGATACAGAAAAGGATATAAAACTCAAAACAAATGGAATTCAAAAAGATAGCGATTTGATCAAGGAAAGAACAAAAATTCGTTTGGAAAAATTAATTGAAAAGTATCCGGAGGGAATGTGGTGCTCAGAGCTGCCCAGCTTATACAAAAAGGAGTATGGTATTGAATTAGAATACAACGAACTTGGGTTTCACGGAGTTGTGGAATTCGTTGCAGCTTTGCCAGAAATCTTTACTGTTACGACACCTGGTGATTCCAAGAAACACATGATTATCAGCACAAAAAAACGAGACAGTAAGGATTATGGAGTACCAAAAAAAACCACTGCTGCCTATTACAATTTTGAAGAGATTGAAGAAGAAATAGATGCCATTCCTTTAAAATTGGTATAATATATTGTTAATCAATAATTAATAATTTTTTTGAATCAAATCATCCCTACTTGCTTCTTTATTCATTTTCAGTCTGAAAAAGTATCTATGGCATTGATTCCTGATGGCTACATGAGTATTAATGAGTCAGTGGATCAAATTCCAGTTTCTTCTTTAGCACCTAACACTGATGATTATTTTGAAGTCACAGTTTCTGAAATATTCACACCATCGTTCTTTTGGATAAAGCTTCGGAAAAATCAGAAGAAATTCAATCTGCTCATGGATCGATTGGGGTAATGTAGTTGAAAGTTACTACTCTTGTAACTTTAAAAACCTGATTAAAATTTTTTTTTTTTTTTTTTTGTAGAGATTACTACAATAATGGTAAGGATCTGCTATCTCTAAAGGTTCCTCAGTGTATTTTGCAGTCAGGACTACATGTAGCTTGCATTTATTCACAACTATGGCATAGGGCCATAATTAAAAAGGTGAAGCATGACGGATTTGTCGTGGTAAGCAATTTTCTATAAATGAACAATTTATGTATAAATCTTGCGCTCAGCGCTCAATGAATTCTCTTTGCAGTTATTTTTTTACGACTACGGTACAGTAAAGTCTTATAATCCCAACGACATATACTTCTTGCACAAATCATTTTCGATTTTGCCAGCCCAAGCTATAGCTTGCGGTTTACATTATCTCCGACCGATTGGAGCTAATGACTGGCCAAAGACGTCCACATCTGCATTTATAGATAAAGTATGGGACATTCCATTAATAGCAAACATAGGATCTTTAAATGAAGATGTGAGTACTTAAGCTTATTATTTGAAAATGATAATTTTCATCTCGAAATGAAGCATGCTAAAGTTTAGTGAATTATTTTCAGAACAACACAATGATGATATCTTTAACTGACACAACAGACGAGCACGTGGACGAACACATAAGCGATTGGATGGTGCAAAATAGATACGCGGAGTGGGGAAAAATGGTTTGTAAAAGAAATACGTTTCTATTACGTCAATATCTACACTGCCAGCAAAATACAGACAGAAAAATGTCTATACCTTATGAGAATTCTAGTGAATCGTTAGCCACTTGTATAAGTTCCGATAAAAAAGCTAAATTATTATTGAGACGTAGAATAAGTTATTCATCTGATGATCAAATAGTGTACATATACAATGACATTGAAAATCAAAACTGTTTGAGATCTCCAAATCTTTTTAAACGATATAAAAATTTATGCCATGAACGATCAAACAAATCTCCAAGTTTAATGAAAATTGATCTGAACAAAATTGATGATAGTAGTAGTGAGATTTCTCGTCAAGAGTATCAAACATTAAATTCAATTGAAAACAAATCTGTCATTGTAAATGAAGAGAAAGCTGAGCTCTCTTATTTTGACAAATTTCATAATTTGTTTGAGACTGACAGGGTCGCACTTAATGAAGATGAATTCGACATGGTTTACGACTCTTATATCTGTGCTCGTGGGCGAATGGATCACATAGATTGGTCGACCATTAATTCAAAAAAAAATAGTTCGCGTTCTAAATCCCTGTTTAATCACATTAAAAAAGTAGCACTAGCTTAATCGGTTGTATCAAAAATTCTTATTTTTTAGTATCTAAATATTTTTTAGTTTTTTACTTTCAAAATTATGCTCAGTAGAATTAATTTAATCAAGTTACTTACTTTTTATCGTTTAAGTAAAAAATATATATATATATATATAAATCAGCATTTTAAAGACCAACGTCAATAAGAATTTTTTTTTAAAAATACGTTTTATTTAAGTTAATTGTACGTTTGTATTAAAGTACTCTTGTAACTTTGTTTGTATTTAAAGTTTTGAGACGAAATTACTGTCATTTATATGTACGCAATTTACAAAGATGCTTAAATGTACTAACTTTTTTGTATTGCAGTTTGTGTTATTAATAAAAAAATGACGAAATGGAACTCATTTTTTTTATTTATTTATTAGACTTTCACACAATACATGCATGAAGTATGTTTCATGAATAACAGTTACTATTTACGATAAGTTAAGGAATTATTCTTTATGTTTCAATACAGGCCAGCATCAATAAAATTCCTCTTCACAAATTGTGTTCTTACGATGAAGTGGAATTACTAAAAAAGCGAGATGAAGAGCGCCGTAACAAGCATACATCCGTTAACCAAAATGGGCCAGCTCAAGTGGAGCAGGATACAAAATGTAGTATGATCGATTACATTTCAGGTGATCCAATCACTAAAGATATTGATTCCTCCGTTGAAAGATTGACCGTTGTTAATATGGTGAAACATAATACGAACGTGATGAAAGATGCTAATAAAATGCTTCAATCGATTTCCCCTAATGTGCCCGATGAAGATAAATGTCAAAGTAAAACCTCAAGTTTGGAAAATGATTCGACAAGCGACAGTTTGGCGGAAGTCTCCTTTAATGTCAGTCAAGATTTAAATGATTTGAAAAATAGTAGTGCTGAAATCCATTCCAATGATGAGTTAACGGTGAATGAAAATAGGCTCATTGCGTTAACTTCAAATGATGGGCTTAATCGACAACCATCCACGTTTGCTTCTGGCCCATGTTTAACAAACAGCTGCAAATCGGAAAATCAGCTTGACAATGAATTTGTGCCTGAAAATATACAAGTGACTGGATATTTGGGTCAGGCTTCATCATCAAGAAATAAAACTAATTTGAATAAAGTAAACGATAAAATAATGCAACAGAATGTTAACAGTGAAGCTGTAAAATCGAATGTTGATGAAGATTACGTGAAATTTAATCATGATGACCATTATTCTAAAAAGCCTTTATCTCAAACGCAAAACAGTTTAAATGTTAATGGTATTTCAAAAAGCGTTACTACTTTTTTCACAATACGTAAGTTTATTTTAATTATTAATACAGTAACTTTTCTATTTAAAGTAATACATTACAGTAGATGATTTTAAATACTTACTATTATTATTTTTTTCAGATCTTAGTGAAAGGTTGGGGCGAAAATTGTTGCATATTTTTCATTACGAGAATCAGGGTTGGTTGTACGTTGCGGAATTCGTTGATATTTTCACCAATTTTAAAGTCCCAAAAGTTTTTGTTAACATCTTAAAGAGTATATTTGATTATTCTTTGTCCTTGAAACATATCAGTAGAGATACAGAGCCTCAAATTTTTGCTCAACTAGATGAGTAAGTGATCAATGATGATATGTTAACTTAGGGGAAAAAAAATCTTACAATGTTTATTTTCAGATTTACCTATTTTTTAAACAATTTTTTAAATACATTTTTTAGAAGTACGTTGGATGCTCCGCGTGAAAATGAAAAACTCAGGTCAGATTTTGATTTGGCACTTATGTCTTTAAGAGATATGTTAATAGTTTTGGAAAAACTTCATGGTGTATCTCCCAAAGCTGTACTTGAAGCCCGGCCTATTATTTTACGATTTAAAGAAGAAGCCGAAAATGTAATTTATGAAAAGTACTACAACAAAATGGTCTACGATGCGGTGGTGAGTCTCGCGTCTGTGAATTTATAAATTTGCGCATTTAAAATTAATGCTAATGGCAACATTTTTTTATTTTTTTTTTTATTTTTTTTTTTTTCAGAATATAGTTTTAAAGTATAAGGATTTCAGACGAGCCGTGAAACTGTGAGCTTTTTTAAATCTGTTTTTCTATTTATTTGTTAAGCTTTACATTGACTGTTGTAAAATAATTTACTTCTTAATTGTGTGCGAGTCTAGAAAAATTACCTTTTTAAGTAGTTGTGGACATTAAACTTTTTTTTTCGTATTTAAATGTTTTTGATTAGAATTAGTGGTAATGTAAATGTACAATATTATGTAGATGTTTTGTACACATAGATTAAAATTTTCATACTTATTTTATTGAAAAATCCCCTCATGTAATGATTTGTGATTTAAACCCATCAAGCCTTTAGTAACTATAATTGGAATCCTCCTTTAGCCATTCCAGCCATTTGAAACAATTATCCGTTCGCTAACTAAAAATTACAACAATTTTCGCGCATTACAATTAAATAGCAAGCACTATATTAAATTCACCGCGCCTAGCAGAAGAGTGCGAGATGATGCGCCAGCTCTCGGCGCAGATGGACGAATTATCAATCGCACCCGTGCTGCACGGGCCGTGCAGTATGTGCGAATACAATACCTACACAGAAAAGTGATTTCTTATAGAAAAAGTCAGTCTCCGTCATAGTCGTCGAGACAAATTTTGTCGGCCACCGAATTTTGGATCAAGTTAACAGACAACCATGTCTGGCGCCGATCCACCCGGTTCCGAGAATCTGAAGGGCTTGGCCAAAATCTTCAACAGCCAGACAAACTACGGAAGGGCAAACGTGAGTCTAGCCTTCCATCATCAGTATTACCTAACCTCCTCGTCATAGTCTCTCTCTCTCTTTATTCGTAGTGTCTCTCGCAACTGCAGTGTTTTAAGTATTTTCGTGTTGCTCTTTTGTTGTTGCAGGTAGCGAAGGCCACGTATGGCGCCGTCGCTCTGTTTATGTTGTACAGTTACCTCAAGCCCAAAAAGAAGAACTAGGCAAGTGCTCAGTGTAAGATTGTTGATAAAAGTCCCTCGGAAAGCGATATGTTTTGTCATTACGTAATGATAAGGGCTCTGCTATCACATAGTACGTACATCAAAGAAAGAGAGGGAGCGCAACTATTGAATCATGGAGAAGGCTAAATTATTAATAAATGGTTAAAACGTTTATTTTCGTTTTCTCTACAATAATTGTATTTCCATTTGTTTTTAGAAATATATGTGTATACTTAACACAATTTACGTGACTGGCTGTTAGTACCGTAGAATCTGACTTTATCTCTTCCTCAGTTGTCTAGTCCGGTTCCTTCCTCATCGATGAATTTTTTTCCGAAATTCAAAAGTAAAAAATAAAAACGGACAAGTAGTTTTCTAAAAAAAAAAAACTCAAATTTTTGGCTAATGCAGGGTTATACATAGCATTTTTTCGTGGCATAAGTATTCAGTATTTTATTTTTATCCATACTTTTAATTACATGAAATTTAAATTTTTTTATTTTGTAGAATTTTTTTTCAATGCATTGTTCATTCGTTGGGAAGCATTAAACAAAATGTATGTACAAACACTACAAACTGATACATTAACATTTTCAATCAGTTATCAAAATGTTTAAAAAATAAAAACATATCAACTTTATATAATATACACTTATAATTTACGAATAGTCGATGTATTGTAATTTATAAAATACATTGAGAGAAGTTATTTTTTGGAATTTTATACATTTACTTGTGGAACACGTTTTCGTATTTGAATAGAAATTGAGATTGCACTGTAAAAAGTACAAGCTTTTAATACAGAGAGTACCCATTGTCAGAGACCGATGTACCTTTTAAGGAGAAATATTTCGAGAATGCTGTAAATCAGCCTCGGTAAGATAGCTATTTGCAAAACTATTATAGTCGAGTTTTTTTCCCATAGGTTTCAAGATAAAAGTATTTGTTGATTTTACAATGGACAATACTTTTGTTATTTAAAAAATGTATTATCAGCTCTTACAAAGGATAAAAGTAGTAACTAACAACAATATTTTAAGGAAGAGTTTCATTAAAATGAGAAATTTACAGTAACAACTTTACGATGTAATAATTTATTTTCTGAATAGTTGATTATTTGAGAAGAAATTTCCAACATCAAATACTTTTCATCACACATGCTATAAAGTATTTTCACATGTAAGGCTAACTTTTATAATAATCATTGACACGTTTGTATTGTGCAACTGTAATAACTCGCACATGATTTTTCGCAATACTTTGAAAGTCATATTACTGTACATAGCGATTTTTTCCCCATAAACTAACGAAAAAGAGTGTGAAAGTCATTGGCCGCAATCTAAGGCACTTTCTCTCCTCGAATCCCTCAAAACAATCGTAATGGTCAGCCTTGATACCTATGCATCAATTGAGATTTCCTGCTAAAATTCGTTTGAGAAAACTCATTTGCAACATAGGTTTTTTTTTTTTTTTTTTTTTTTTTTTTTTTTTTTTGTTAAAAATAAAAGTTACGCCTGCATGACAGCGGCATTTCAACGTCAAGAAAAATTTTTTATTTGCCTCGATTTTAATTCATCTTACTACTAATAATATCATTTAAATTTCTATAGATACAAGAGTTATGATTGCATTATGAAAATACAAGCGAATGTAATAAATTCCATATGATATTTACAAGAGGTTTTTGAACAATTAAATATGTAAAATCACATGAGCATCAAACTAATAAAATATTCCGAGATTCGCACGACGTTTTTTCACTAAACCGATACATTATATTGAAAACTTGAAAGTTTTTCCACAAGGGCATTCGATAACTTAAAGTATAGTAGGTACGGCCCAAACAAAAAAATAAACGGTAGTTCGTTTTATATTGTAAAAATTTGATGATTTTATTTACAATCACAGCACGATTTTAGAGGGCCGTTTACGATCGCCGAAATTCGATTGCGCGTGATCGGTAATTGTTGATGGCGACGGGGATGGACAGTAGTACTTATGAGGGAGGATGAAAATAACAGACAGCAGTTATTCCGCGGCACTTAACCATAAATGCAGATAATCCATTTCGGCGGTCCGATGCGGGTAAATAAATAATATTATATGTATAGGTAATGCCAACGCAGTCGTACATATGAATATACCAACACCCACGCACAACCACATCACACATTTTGACAGAGACTTTGGCGTAGGAATTAACACGTTAGCTATATGTGGTGTCTCATACATAGTAAAGAAAGAGCGCCTGGCCACGCAACGCCCACACTTGTATGCAAGACTGACAGGTATTCAGCTCATCCAACGTGGAGATATGTCGAGATGGTGTATAATTATATTCTAAGGTTGCCCGTATATATATTGAGCAGCTATGTTTGCTATCGCGTCAAGTCTGAGATTTTTTTTTCTCTGGAAACCTCGAGTTTAACTAAAGTCAATAAAATCAGGTAAAGGTCTGTTTGAGAAAAAATAATAATTATAAATAAAAGGTACTCTTTTATCGATCTACACTGTCAGCGACACATTTCACCCCGACGTTGTGAAATACTGTGGCGTTATTGAATAAAAGAAAAATTCGATCCAATCACCTTATTGAATCGCTCCAACAGATCGCAAGTATATATATATATATGCATTGGAATATAATATAAGTGTACGGTAGAGGTACTTTCAACAAATTCCATAAACGTCACTGAAATTTTTTATTCGATATTTTTTTTTTTTTTTTTTTTCAATCAACAACAATATCTTACTTTGATTTTCTACTCTCAGAAGGTCAAAAAATATTTCAAACTTTGTCGTTACCTATATATACACATCTCTTTATTATTTGTTTTTGTCGATAATACTGAAACGTATTAGCACGCATTACGGCGTCAATACGACTGTATGTACATGGTTTTTATTTTTATTTTTTATTTTTTAATTTTTTTTTTTACAAAACTTAAAAAGCTACATTTATCTAAATAAAAATACAATTCACTCGACGCGATTACGTACTATTTTTGGTTTTTTACAACAAAATGTCTTTGATCTGAAATTCCATTACATCATCATTGTTTTCGTCCATACGATACAATAAATCACAAACTCACTCGACAGTTTCAAGAAATTTTTTTCAGTCACGCGCGCTTAATCATCATCGTTCAAAAGTAATTTTTTATTGTGCGCTCCAAAAAACACATCGGCAGCGATGACGTCGACGACCAAAGTCCAGTATATACCCCGATTCCGAAAAATATGTCACACGAGCTCTCAATTACAACTATATACGAGTATGCGTAAGTATAAGTAGTATAGGCAAGAAATTTACATCGCAAAAGCCATTCGCCGGATCCGAGAACTCCGCTCTCTTCTTCGAATCGGCTATTTTGATGGTTGCACGCGCACTTATTTTCGATACAAAGAAAAATAAAGAAGAGAAGAAAAAAACAGAAAGAACTATATGCAAGTAGCAAACGAGACGTAAAAAAAAGCGGCATCGTGAATCACGTTGATAAAACAAAAGACGAAGAAGAAAAAAAGGAAGAGAAGCCCCCGGGGCGGAGGAACAGAAAAGTAAGTTGGGGTGTAGAGAGGGTGGGCCCATGCACGCGAGCTTCGGTAACAGTGTCGTGGAAAAAAAAAAAAAAAAAAAAAAAAAAAGACCGAAAGGATGAGATTCAAATCGCATTCAGCAGCCCCGTCAGCAGAAGGCCGTATCCTCTAGGGTAATGGCGGCTCGTTCCCCACCTCTGCCGCAGTGGTTCCGATGGCTGCTGCTGTCGTAGTAGCTGGCGACGAGGGGACTATGCTTCACCGTCGTCGTCGTGCTCGTAGGGGGGTAGTACACCGACGAGGAGCCGTTGTTGTTGTTGTTATTGTGGTGTGGCCTGAGCGAGTTACCCATTGTACCAGCTGACGTGTAGCTGTTGCCGTGGTTATGGTGGTAGCTGTTGTGCGAGTGCGGGTACTGCGGGTGGTGATGGTGATGGGAGCGCCGTATGGAGTTGCGGAGCTCGATGTGGCTCATGTTGGTCGCGAACGAGTCCTCGTTCGTCTGAAAGTCGGGACTATCGGCCCTGGCCGTCCGGGTCCGCTCGCCCGGCAACTGGCAGAACATCTTTAAGAAGATGCGCTTGAACTTGCGCCCGAAGATCACGTAGATGACAAAGTTGACGCCGCTGTTGAAGGTCACGAGGAGGTTGCCCGCCTGGATGAGCCAAGCCGGTGGATTCACGTACACGTTCTCGTAGACGTTGCTCACGAGCGGCAGGACGTTGCACACGAGGAATACTATCACCACGCAGAGCAACATGGTCGCGAGGCCGATCTCACGGCGCTGGTGCCGAGAGAGTCGGCGCAGGTCCCGGTTAGCTCGCCTCACCTGCAATCGTCGAAACGTCTTGATTACAACGCGGCTTGTAATAGGTATATTGAGGCATTCATGATTCATTTTTCCCCCCGTTTTTTTTATTTCAATACGTTGGGTATACACATACTATGTTGTGCAATATAGGTGTGTGTATAGGGATGCATCCAAGTTTTTTGTCTCCGACGTCATTCGATCGACCATTCGACATTTCTTGAAATTACTTTCTCCCCGTGCGATTTTAAATTGGGTCGTGTGATGTGTAAGCAAAGTAACATAAGTCCCTGTACTGTAACGACAGAATCCTCGAAACGCCGAGTTTACAAAGTACTCGGTTACTTATAAGCTGTAAGTATGCAGGTACAAATTTGTACGGCGAAGCGCGGAAACTCGTTATACTTATCTAAAATTGGCTGGAAACTTGGATGACGACTCGTCTGCATACTCCATACACACAAGACACACCACCAGTATATTTGCATGTATAAAGCAGCGCGAAAAACGTGATCGATATATATATATATTCAGCCTTGA